ATTGTTTAAGGAAAAAAAAGAGCTCAAATATTAATGTAAGTAATGAAAAGGCCTGGATTAGGAAGACAAAAATATTTTGAACAACTTTATACCAATATACTTGAAAACTTACAAGAGGAAAAACTCTTAGAAAACATTGTGCTGGCTGGAAAATTACTGTTTGGCTATCGCCCATGGGAACATAACGCTCTAACAATAAGCTTTCTGCTTCTGTACCACCTCCCCACCGACTTGCACGACAACCTGTGTGTTGAGTTAGTAAAAAGAAGAAAAATAGACTTGTGTGTTCAAACAGGATGAAGAATAGGGTTTAGGGCTTAAAAACCCCGTACCTCTACATTTTGGGGCTGCTTAATTTGGGGTCTGCGTACCGCTGGTAGACCCAGCTGGCTGAATAAAGAGGGCGTTTCCTATAACTCACTGATTTCTGGTGGACCGTGTGTCTATTGGGGGCTGGCGGCTACAACAACATAACTTACCAAAATTCACCCATATTGAGTTAGAAATCCCAATTATGCTTATAATCAATAAAGAAATTACATCAGTAGTTAAAATCTACCCACAAAAAACTCGCCATCTTAAGACGATTTTATGAGAAAAATCTACAAATACTCAAGGAACTGACTGTTCCACTTTTATGCAAAGTATTCCAGCTTATATACAAAGATGAAAGGAACACTATCTGATACATTTTATGGGCTACTATTACTTTGATATCAAACCTAGAGTATAAGAAAAAATTACAGGCCAATCTCATTCATGATTTAGATGCAAAATTCTTAAACATATTTGCAAATGGGTTTATCCCAGGAATGCAAGGGAGAATTACCATTAGAAATTGATGAATGTAATTAAACACATTAACCAATTAAAGGAGGATTATTTCAACAAACCAAAAAAAAAATAAAGATAAAATCATCCTTTTATCATTTGAGAGAAAGAGGAAGGAAGAAGACAAACTCAGATTAAAAGGGAACTTAAATTTTGAAGGTATAAACAAAAGAAACTACAGTAAATGTCACATTTATTGATAAAATGTTAGTCATTCCTTTAAACAGACAAAAGTGCTATCATCCCTTTTTATCGACACTATACTGGAGGTTCTAACCATAATCATTAAAAAGGAAGAAACAGAACTGCCATTATTTATAAAAGGTATGATAGTCGAATAGAAAAATCTCAAAAAATTTGAGGAAAAAGCACTAAAATTTTTAGAACAGAACATTTAGCATTATTGACACACACGATCAGTATACAAATTTCTACTGCATTTTTATAAAACAGCATCAGATTCTACTGTTACCAATTTTAGTTTGGAAATGGTCCCCAAGTTCAGGGACCCAGACTCTAATTCTCTCGAAGAGGCTTCACACACAGTCAGAATTCCCCGCTGGGGGTTCCCTGCTTTAAGGAAAGTTTCAAAGATGATATTCAGTTAATTTCATCAGGAAGACGAAAGCTTGGTTTATTTTCCCTTAATAATTGTTTCAATATTATTAGCCAGACTGATGACACAGAAGATCTTCAAAAAGATATGAAAAAAATTCAACATTAAAAAAAATAAAATTCAAGAAGAGTAAATATGATTCCTTGTATTTAAGTTCAAACAACTGCTTTCAGCAAAGGATAAATGGAAAAGGGTTGGTTTAATAAGACATCTAATGATAAAAGTATTCTTGCTGTTCATTACAAATATATATATATTTTAAGGCAAAGGGTATTTAAAATTGTATTCCTCAAAACAAACTGTCTGCATCTACCCCATTCTGAAATAGCTAGATGATGTTTTAAAAGGAACATTGGTAAATTAAAAGAGGTCCAGAGAAAAGGGATAAGAATCGAATCACATATAGAATCTAGGATATTTAGCCTGTAGAAGGAAAGATTCACAGGAGGAACCCAAACAAGAGCGTTTTTCAAAAGTTTCAAGTAGGGGGCACAAATTTAAATGCCTACAAGAGCAACAGAAATAAATTATAAATTAATGATGTGGACTTGGTGTAGTAAAAAGTCACAGCTCAGCTCCAACTGTTTGCTATTCAAAATGCCAGCCTAGCATTAATAGAAATTCACATTTTTTAAAGAAAATTAAACCATAGTGTTCTGGAACCAATTCCAAATTGGTGGTGTGGATTCCCACATCAGCAATAAGCCATTCTCTGGCACCAGCTGGTATCCTACATTTCAACTCAATTCTGACACTATTTACCTGAAGATAGCATCAGGTTCCACAGGTTAGGCAGGCACTCAAGTCCTACAAGACTGCCCTCTGCTTCAGATGCCAATCACTGACTCATGGGTTATAGACTGGAGGTTTCCATGACTCTCTCCTTGAACTTCAGATGCCAACTGCAAATCCAGGTAGTCACCTGTACTTCTGACTGGCTATAAATGAGATTTCCACAATACCCTCCTAGAGTTCGATTAACTGGCTAGAGTGGCTCACACATTCAGGAAACCCGTTTACTAAGTCACCGATGACAGAAGATATTAAAGGATACGAACCAACAGCCAGATGAAGAGACTTAGGGCGAGGTCCTGCACAAAGGAGCGTTTATCTTTATGGACTTAGGAGCTGGACTTTTGGACAGGCTTTGTTTATTGACCTGGAAACTTTCCAAACCCCTCCCCTCCTTTTGGGTTTTTATGAAGGCTTTAATTACACAGGTGTGATGAACTCATTGGCCACTAGTGATTGGTTCAATCTTTAGCTCCCTTCCTTTCCCCGGAAACTGGGGGATGGGACTGAAACTTCCAACCCTCTATTTATGATTGGTTCCCCTGACAACCAGCCCCAATCCTCAGGTGCTTTCCAAAGTCACCATATTAACATAAAACCAGGTGTGGTGGAAAGGGGCTTATTATGAATAACAAGAGACCCATTTCACCTTTATGGATCTCAAGTGGTTTTTTCAGGAATTGAGGACAAGCAACTACTCTAACAAAAGATGCTCCCATTGCTCTTATCCTTCAGGAACTTCCCGAAGTTTTGGGTACTGTGAGCCACGTAAATGGATGAAGACCAAATACATATGAGAAATATATTTTAGTCATCTGAATGACCAAATATATATTTATTATAAATCACAATATTGCAAACCTTTTATTAATCATTACAACATACAATATTAGAAAAATATTCAGTATTATTCATTCAATATAGATGCTCATCTGCTTTAGAAGACAATTTATAAACGTAATCCTTTTACATTAAAAATGAATGCAATGGGTAAAATTTTTAACATTTGTGAAATATACAGAAGAGTACACAGAAATATACACAGCAAAATAAAATATTATAAAGGAAAAACCATTATACAGCAAACATTACTTTCTCTCCAGAAGCCCTCACATGCCTCTTCCCAATCACAATCCTTCTTCCTCCTGCTAAAGACAGCTAATCACCTGACTTGTTTGTAGGAAATGTCTTTCACCTCCTGGAGTGAAGGTTTTCAAGTATGCATGTAATACCCCAGATTAACAATTTTCTTCCAGCATTTAAAGATATTATGCTGTTTCTTCTGGCTTGCTATTCTCTTGTGAAGTTAGCTATTAGTTTTATTGTGGCTGCTTTGATTTTCTTCTTACCCTACATGGCATTCATAGGGCTTCTTTAATCTCTGGACTTGATACCTTTCATCAAGTTTTGGAGTTTTGGAAAATTCTCAGCCATTAGATTTTCAAATATTAACCTTTGTCCAATTCTTTCTCTTTTCCTGCTCTGGGTTTTCAAGTACAATATGTTAGATCTTAACATTGTATCTCCTATTGTTGCCTTTTAAAATATATTTTCCATCCTTTTATCTCTGTGCTTAATTCTAGGTGGTTTCTTCACTATACATTTCAGCTGTGTCCAGTCTTGCTAAGTTCATCCACTAAGTTCTTAAATCTAGTTTATTGTTCAGATTTAGAATTTCCATTTGATTTTTTAATGATATTCAATTTTCTGATGAATTTCTCAAGCATAAACATGCTAGGTTTCCTAGAAGCAGAGCCTGAGCTTGTGGTTCTTTTGCCAACTGATTTACTGCAAAAAATTAGATGAAACTTGTAAGGGAAGCAGGATCCGACTTGGGAAGAAGCTCAAGAGGTTTATGTGGCCAAAGTCCTTAGCTTGATCCCATAGGATGGAGCTCTAGAGTACCAGTAGCATCACACAGTTGTCCTCCTTGAGGCCAGGGATGTGTGTGTGACTTAAATATTCCTGGATTAGTCAGTTACTACCCTCCAGGGAGTGGGTGGAGGATTCATGTTAACCTAGGGAATTCCAGGAGAGATGACTGCAAAGAGTATGAGCAGTTAACACCGGAGATGGGGGTTGGGGTAGAGTTGGAGTGAATTAATCTACCTAGTAAAGAGAATCATGGTAGAGCACTAAGGGTGCCCACTACAAACAAGCATGTTTGCTGTAAAGTTTGCAGTTGGTAACTCTTACTATCTGGATCTGCTGAAGGTCTTTCTGTTGTCTATCATTTCTTTTGGTTTCAGTCAATATCTTGTCACCGTGTATGCTAGTTATTATTGAGTGCCAATACTGTATATTAAAAACTTCAAGAAATATTTGAGGCCTAAGATTTTCCTCTTCCTCCAGAGAGGATCTGACTGCCTCTGGCAGGCCCCTGGGGTATTAGTATTAGTAATCGTGAATCACCTTAATCCAGTCAGGGACTGATGAGATTCAGAGCTGGGCTTCAATTTCAGTAAAGCCCATTTTTTCACTCTGAGAGTTCCTTGGTAGGCAATATTCTTTAATTTTTGGCCCCTAGCTCTGTGAATATATCAAAAACTGTGCTTAACTTCTCAGCCTCAGTTGTCTCTTCCAGAATTGGTTCACAATTCTAGAAGAAAATAAGTGTGATATTCTAAGTTCGCTTTAATTTTTAAAAATATATCTTTGATTTTTTGTGGTTTAATGCTCTTCACTTATGTACTATATATTTACTTTTTATTATATATTATATAAAAGTGAATACAATTACTAACATATGATCAAAATTGTAATGAAAGATAAACACACTAAAATGTCTCTTCCACCCCATCCTCATCTACCCTTTCCTCTCAGTCTCTTAGAAATCACCATTTTCATTAGTTGTATATTAAATTAGTGCTTTTTATTTAAATACAAGTGCATAATATATATTTATACATACATTCTCATTCCCCATGTTATACAAAAAGAGAACATATTTTATACCTTGTTCTTTGAACTCATTATCTAATGCTCTATAAGAAATCCCCCCAAAATATGCTGGCAGTAACTATCTATTTTGGTTTTTGTGAGTCAAGAATTTAGAAATGGCTTGGCTGAGCAGTTCTGGCTGAGCAGTTATGAGATCACAATCACATGCCAGCTGGGTCTGCAGTCAGCTGAAGGTCTGAGAAAAATATACTTCCCAGGTGGCTCACTCATGTTTGGCAAGCTGATACGGTTAGTGTGTGTGAAAGGCCTCAGTTCCTCTCCATATGGGCCTCTCCACAGGACTGCTTGAGTGTCATCATGCATGGTGACTGGCTTCCCTCAGAGTAAGCACTCAAGGGGCCCAAGGTGAAAAGGTGTAATGCCTTCAGATAAACCTTAGAAGTTACACACCACCACTTCTATCACATGCTATTGGTCACACAGACCAGCCCTGATTCACGAGGTTGTATATACCAGGTAAAGATCATTTGGGGGTATTTTTGGAGGCTGGCTATCACATTCCGTATGTTGGTTTTCCCGTTTTGTTTTGTTTAACATGATTTATCCTGGAGATCTCTCCATATTACTTACTACATAGAAAACTTCCTCATTCTTTATATAGGTGTATAATATTCTATTACAGGATATACTAGTGTTTATTCTACCATTCCTCTATTGATCAATGTGTGTTGTTAAAGTGGCTTATTTTTGTCTTGCATTGCTATTATAAATAATGCATCAATGAATAATCTGGCACTTATGTCTATCCATTACATGTTCAAGTGTATCTGCAGGAGATATTCCTAAGAATTGGAATTGTTCATCCAAAATGTGAATACATTGATTTTTTTCATAGATATTGCCAAATTCCCTTCCATAGGAAGTGTATGACTTTGCATGTTCATCATCCATATATAAAAGCGCATGTTTCAGGACAACCTTGCCAATAATGTGTATTGTTGTCAAATTCTAGAATTTTTGCTAATATGGTAGATGCAATGTTATCTCACTAAAGTTTACATTTGCATTTCTTTTATTATGAAACGCATTTAATGATCTTTTTAGATGTTTACAATGTGGTATATGTGTATGTGAACTGTCCATGTTCATTGACTAATGTTTTCTAATGCATCTTTACACTTTTCTTCTATATTCTTATAACATTAAGGAGATTAGCCCTTTGTTTGTGATAAGATTTGCATATTTCTTCCCGGCTAGTTTCCACCATGGTGTTTTCTGCCTTGCAGAAGATTTATGTTGGTGTTTTTTGTGTTTTATGTTTCCACTGTATATGCTGTAATAGAATATTATACAGCTATGTAAAGAATGAGGAAGTTTTCTATGTAGTGATATGGAGAGATCTCCAGGATAAATCATGTTAAACAAAACAAAAAAAGGAAAAACCATTGCACGGAATGTGGAGCCAGCCTCCAAAAATATATCAATTTTATTTTATGGCTTCTGGATTTTGAGTTGTAGTTAATTAGAAAGGCTTCCTCATTCCAAAATTCAAGAGGAATTCACCCATGTTTTCTAGCACTTTTATGACTTTGTATTATAGAAACTTTTGTGCCACCTGTAGTATATTAAGGCATATGCTATGAGAAATGGATTCAAAACTGTAACTGTTTTCCAAATGACTACAGAGTAGTCCCCATGCAAATAATATTTATCTTTGCTGGACTGACTTGATATTCTTCTATATATTTTTTTTATTTGACTTTCTTTTCTACTTTTCTATCTATTTATGCCATTATTACACTATTTTAATTATTCAAGCTTTAAGGTAAGAGTATTTCAATACCTGATGCAGCTAAACTTACATTGCTATTCATTCTGATGCTATTCATTTACCTCTTTATGTGAATTTTAGAAACAGTGTATGTCTGTGCACTTTCAGCGTCTTTCCACACAGATGAGGTAGGGCTGGGGTTGCAATGTCATGCCTAACCTGGGCTTCAGATTTGGAACCAGTTCATTTGGGAAATGAAAGTGAAACTGCTGAAGCAACGCTGTAAAAAACAGGAACATTTCCATCCGAGCCAGCTGTTCTCCAAGACAATGTCTTTTTCCTAAACAAAGACATAATAATTTTTAAAAATCCATAATATTTACCAAAATTTATGTCTAACATGGGGTGCCATCCAAGAAATCTGGATTTTAAAGAAAATTAGAAGAGGTTATCCTCATTAAAGAATTTTCTTAAAATCCATAGAAATTGGCTTTTCATCTCCCAGAACCCATTTCTATACCTTCTTTTGTCAAATCATGGACTTCTGTAAACTTATTAGTCCATCCCCCACTTTCCCTGCACATCGCAACAGAGCCTAAGATATACCATGAAAGATCTAATTTGAAGTGTGACATTTTTTTCTATAGAGTCAAGAGAAGGTGATTTCATTTCAAATGACTTAACGTGTACTCTTCCCCGATGAAATGAAGTTTCTAGTCCACCTTCCATGGGCCTTGTAATCTGTGTAATTTTTCATAGTAGAAGCAATATTTTTAGAGATGAGGCATAATAAACTGGGAGACAAGGGAGCTAGATTTCAGTTTCACTTCAAATTATGATGTCATTCCCCTTCCTGGGTCTCAGTTTCTCAAGCTATGTGTTACGGACCTTCTAGCTCTATGACCTTTGATTACAAACCCAAAATCCATACTTATAAAAGTTTCAGAAGCAGCCAGAGCTTCTCAACAGTTTTCTCTAAGTTACTTAATTAAGGTTTGTTTATTTTGAGTAGAAACAGGTTAATGATCCCTAATTAAACTATTGTCTCATGTAGAAATTAATACTGTTTTCAGAGTTGGAATATTTAATTCTGCAACAGAATGCTTCGGATTTATATGTTATACTGATGAATCATCATTATATTTTGTCCAAAGTTATGCTCCTGTGAAAGTTCTCTTACCTAGAGAAAATGGAACCAAAGCTTCTTTCTTGGAAAAATATCCATTGCTGTCCAGAAATCGCTCAGGATAGAATATTTCTGGGTCTCCCCAGTACTTTTCATCAAAGTGTACAGAATAAAGATTTGTAATTACTGTTGTACCTTTAGGAATGGAATAACCATGTACAACTGCATCTTCAGAGGTTGCATGGAAAATTCCTAATGGAACTATATTACAGAATCTTAAAACTTCATGTAAAACTGCCTCAGTATAAGGCATTCTGCATTTGTCATCCCAAGAAGGCTTCCTATTGGGTCCCATAATTAAATCAATCTCTTTCTGAACTTGTCCTGTCAGAGAGAAAGTGTTCAAGTTATTAAGCAATGCTGAAAAGGTATATCTAAAATAATTTCCCTTTGAAATAAAACAAAGGATAACCTATAATAACAAGTCGATAGGGTATGGGTACACCCAGATTCAGGTTTTTCATTATATGGGAGTTATATTTAAATATATACCATATATCTTGTACTATCAGTAGCCAGTGCTGAGTAACTTTGTGGTGAAAAACACATTAAAAGTAATGAAAATCAAACAAACTTAGAATTCGAATAACATCTCACTCTCAGCAAGAAAAATAGTAAAGCATAAAACTTGAATTAAAACAACCAGGGTTCAGGCCCCGGCTCTGCCACCTCCAGTGGCTGAGCTTGGGCAAGTTAGCCACTTAGCCTTTTCCCACATTTATAAAATAGGCATAATAAGACCTATCTCTGAGGTTTTTACATGAATTCAGAGAATATATTTGAAATATATTTATAACTTAAATATTTTTCTCTTGGGTAGCACAGCGGAAGTTCCTAAATAAAATGCTCTATACATGGCCAAAGACTCTAAAACATGTGTGAACCCTAAATGTAAGGACAGACCTTCAGGTCAAGAGAATCCTCACCTTGAATGTTAGGATAAAGGGCCATGAAAAGAATTGCCCATCGCAGCACATTGGTTGTAGTTTCAGTCCCAGCAATGATGAGTTCACCCACAGAGAAAATTAGGTTTTCTTTGGAGAAAGTAGATGATGGGTCATTTTTACCTTGATCCATCTCATCTAAATAAGCATCAACAAAATGCTGAGGTAACTGAGGCTTTCTGTTGGCGGAAACTTTTTCAATAAGCCTGGAGAGAAAATCATAGACCACAGCAGCATTTCTAAACAGCTGCTGATGTTTTCCAAAAGGTAACATGCCAATCCATGGAAAGGCATTATACAGGAAGACTGAAGCACTGGCAGCAAGTTCTACATTTTCACTAAATAACTCAATCATGTGCTGAAAATCAGTGTCTTCATAAGTGAATCGTTCTCCAAAAATGATCAGATTGGTTATGTTTGAAACAGCATTTGTTATTAATTGTTTAAAGTCAAAAGGTCTACCTTTGTATGTTTCAACAGCATCGATGAAAAAATTGATTTCTTCTAAGATTTTAGATTCAAAAGACTTTTGGCCATATCCAAAACAGCGAAAGCTGTTTACAGCTAATCTTCTGTGATCAACCCATCCTCGGCCATATCTGGAATTGAGTAAGCCTGAAAAAGATATTAAAATTTTTTATCATTCCTACATCTTTGTATCTAACAACTGAAAAAGCTATGGAGAAAAGAGATGGTTAGCCATTCTCCAAATTTTCCTTAAAACTAAAACTAGACCCAGTAGATAAGTCCTGTTCTCTGCTACTCATTAGCCATAGAATATTATAAACATGTAAAACTGGTCTACTTTTCATCTAAGACAGGCAGAAAAGACCTATAATTCTCCCACCACAATAAAACTGGACAGCCTTGTGTAATTCATCCTAGGTGAAGTAGGCCCAAGTGACTTCATTATCCAAAATTTACTATAAGTTTAATTTACAAAAGACAAATTACTGCATGTCTACAGACAAAATTACATTTTGGACTAAACAAACACCTGAAAGTCATACTTCTAGGATTCGAAATTTTCTGTTTTAAGATACTAGATTTTAGAATACAAATTTATTCCTGTTAAAGGCATATGTTACCTAACAAGTTAACTCTGGTAGGATCAAGGGTGGCCTGAATGAGGTGTCAATGTAGAGAAAATACTCAAGCCCAAAGGAAAGTACTATGCATCGAATGTCTGTGTCACCACAAATTTCATATGTTGAAGCCTGACCCCCAATGTAATGAATGATATTAGGAAATAAAGCTTTTGTGAGGTAATTAGGTCATGAGGGTGGGGCTCTCATGAATGGGATAGGTGCCCTAGTAAGAAGGGACCTAGTAAGAATGAGAAGAGGTAATTGCTCACAGCTATATGAGGGTACAGAAAGAAGGCAGTTGTCTACAAGTCATGAAGCAGGCTCTTTCCATACACTGGATCTACTGGCACCTTGATTTTGGATTTCCCAGCCTCCAGCTCTGTAAGAATAGCTGTCTGCTGTTTAAGTCACTTGGTCTATGGTATTTTTGTTTTAGCAGCCTGAACTAAAGACAGAGAGCAAATATGAAACTTAAGCTTCCAGTGCTGATATTGCTTGCATTAAAATTTTGTAGTCTCCACAGTATACTCTGCTGTCCTGTTGTGGCTATTATGGAATATTTTCCTTTTAAATTAACTACCAAGAAAAAATCATCCTCAGCACATATATTTATGTAGTATGTATTCTATTAGAAATTTCATTCATACTAGGTACATAGGTGCACCTCTGATGAAAAATACGTTCTCTTGTCTACTGGAGGTACCTATATAATCTATATTCCAACAACTTTTGTGCAACGATTTTTTAATTTGGAGCTTATGATAAAGTTAACCATACATAAGCGGGCCTTCAGTGCTATGCTACTCTTATATTCCCATATTTCATTCTCTTTTCCATAATCCCAGATGACTATTTATTCAACAAATACTCATTCAACATGTATATATGGAACCTCTACTATGTTCCAGGCAGTGTTATAAGCTGTCAAAGATAGATCAGTGAATGAAAGAGGCAAAAGAGCCCTACTCTCATTGACCTTACATACTAGTGAGGAGAGGCAAACAAACAAATTATATAGCAAAGAAGGAAAAACAGGATGGTCAAGGAAAGCCTCACTGAGAAGGGGACATAAGTAAAGATATGGAAGATGAGAGAGTAATTCAAGCAGATAATCTGCGGAAAAATCACTGTTGGCAGAGGGAACAGCTTATGCAGAGGCACTGAGATGAGAGCAAGCCCTAGCGAAATGTAAGAATATGGGATACCTGTAAAAGAAAGTACAAAGGAGCTTTGTTATAACCCTACATCGGCCAAGCTGTAAGCATGGGCAATTTTTCCTAAACACTGGGATAATGGTGGCTCTGATTTCTGAGTTCCAAGTTCGACGCATATGTATCTTAAAATAACACATATAGTTGTCTACCTATTCTTCTCTTACTGTTTTTTGAAAACCTTAGGTTGAATGCTTATTTTATCTTTATAATAAGTCTAAACTATAAATTTTAGCTTTGAAAAATATATATAATGTACCCCAAATATTACTCTGATCACATCATTTTTCATTTTCACAATTTCTTTAAAGATCTTCTATTATAATTGTGGTATAATTTCTTTTTTTTGCATAATTATTATTTAAAAGATTACTTCAGCTGCTGGAGATTTACTTTTTATTTATATTATTGCTTTCAAGTATCATTATACTTGAAATTTGGCCTTAAAAACTGGTGTTCTCTTTGCATTAGCTTCTCTGTTTTGTGATGTAATATATGGTTAATTTTTATTTTTTTCTTTTCATTCAATGTCTTTTTAATCTATACAAGCAAGATATTGTTAAATTTTTCTTTGAAATTAAGTGTGAAGCTCTCATTAAATTGGATAATACTGGACACCATTATTCTAAGAACTCTTACACTATTAAGTGTCAAAACTGTTGTATCTGACTTCAGCACTCTATTTTTGACTTTCTGTTGCTGCTTTCTTCTTAACAATTCTGTTAACTTTCAGCATTTCTCCCTTGTTGAATATGGAATCATCCAACAATGATTAACACTAAACCATAGAGAATCATAGTCCTTTACATAAATACCACAATTCTTCATTTACATATCATATTGATTAGTAGTTACGAATGGCTGCTTTAGGTTCTATAATCTTATAAGCAAAATGATAGTAAAAATGTCACCAAGTAGTCAAGACTTGCTTCAAAAGGTGCTTTTGATTAAAGTGTGCATACACATGTTTGTATTACTAACTTGTTTCACAAAACCTGCGCTAATTCTTTAAAACATAATTTACATTTATCAGAACTAGATTAAAACCGTAGAATTAGTATGTAATGGTCTAAAATATGAGTGTACTGCAGACTAAGAGGTTTTCAAATACTAGGTCTCCAGCCTAAATTAATTAATTAATACTTTCCTGTTAATCAGTACAATAGAATCCAAACTCTATGTGCTGAATATACATAAAATAAGAAATGTGGAGTGATATCAGAAGCATGGCAGAATGAGAGATGTCCTCAGATCTGTCCCCTTGAAATAACAATAAGCTGAACATCTAAAACTCAACAAATAACACCCAACCTGCTCACAAGAACATCTGAGCAAGTGATCTGTGAATAAGACCACAGGAATTGAAAAAAAAACTAGATCAGCAGAACAAGATTTTTAGCAAAGAGATTGAAACTCTAAAAAAAGGACCAAAAAGAACTTCTGGAGATGAAGAACACACTAAAAGAGATGAAGAATGAAATAGTAAGCTTGGGAAATAGAGTCCACCAAATGGAGGAAAGGATCAGTGATATTGAAGAAATCTAGAAATAAATCAGAAGGAAGAGAGAGAGACCAAAGAATGAAAAAGAAATACAAGAACTAGCTGACATCATCAGGAATGGAAACGTAAGAATAATGGGTATTCTCTAAGGGGAGGAAAAGGAGCAGGGATTAGAAAACAATTTTTCACACAAATAGTTAATGAGAATTTCCCAAATCTAATGATGAATGTAGATTGGAATTCAAGAAGTTAACAGAATACTCAATACAACCCAAAAAGGCCTTCCCCAAGACACATATTAAAATTATCAAAAATTAATGACAAAGAATTCTCAGGGCAGCCAGGGAAAAGAAGATGGTAACCTATAAGGGAAAATCCATTAGATTATCATTGGACTTCTCAGCCCAAGCAAGAAAGGAGTGGAATCAAATATTCAAACTAGTAAATGAAAGGAACTACCTGCTGAGAATAATGTATTCAGCAAAGCTCTCCTTTAGATATGAAGGAGAAATAAAGATCTTTCCAGACATATAAAAATTGAGGGAATTCTTCACTACAAGGCCTGCATTATAGGAAATACTGAAAGGGGTTAGCTTACCTAAAATAAAATGACAAAAAAATACTTAACTATGAGTAAGGTGACTAGCAGGTAGAAAGAAGCAGAGGAATGCAACTTGTATTGAGAACAGGGCTTTATAAGCTTAAACAATAAGAAGAGAGTTGCTGTTGCAAGATAGTAATGGATGTTCAGTATACATAGGGACAAACTGAGACACCAATAACAGAAAAGGGGAGGATTCAAAGATCCAAATTTGCAAAGGGGAATGGAGATAAGGCACACACAGAAGAAAATGGACTATTATATACATATTTGTAATGGTAACCACACACCAAAGATTCAGAATATAAGTACATAATATAAAACAAGAAAGACCAGAGGGAAAATCAACAAAACCCAATCAAAAAAAAAAAAGAAAAAGAAAAAGAAAAAGAAACAGAAATACAAAGATAAGAAAGCAATGGAAACACTGAGCTACCAGAAAGCAAAAAATAGGAAAACCTTATATTTCAATAATCACCCTAAATGTAAATGGGCTGAACTCACCACTAAAAAGGCACAGAGTTGCAGACTGGATCAAAAAAACAAAAGCCAACCATGTGCTGCCTCTAGGAGACACGTCTCAACTCCAAAGACAAATATAGACTCAAAGTGAAAGGGTGGAAAATGATATTTCAAGCAAATGACATTCAGAGAAAAGTGGGAGTAGTAGTACTAATACAGGACGAAATAGAATAAAAAAGGTAAAGAAAGATACTGAGGGGATACTTCGTAATGATAAAGGGAATCATGCACCAAGAAGACATAACACTAATTAATATCTATGATCCCAATCGGGGAGCCCCGAAATATGTAAAGCAATTACTAACAGAACTGAAGGCAGAAACAGACCAAAACACTGTCAACCCCACTGTCGGATATGGACAAATCATCCAAATAGAAAATCAATAAGGAAATAACATCCTTTAATGACACATTAGACCAACTGGACATAATTGACATTTACAGAGCCTTTCATCCCAAAACAGTTACTTATACATTTTTCTCTAGTGCACATGGAACGTTCTCAAGGACTGACCACATACTGGGACACAGACAGAGATAGCCTCAACAAATATAAGAGGGTTGAAATCATACCGACTATATTCTCTGATCATAATGCTTTGAAACTGGAGATCAACTGTAAAAAGAAAGCAGGAAAACTACAGATACATAGAATTAAACAGCATGCTATTAAAGAATGAGTCAGAGAAGAAATAAAAATAAGAAGTGTGATTTAAAATAGTAAAGCACCAAATAGGTGAAAATAAAACATACCTCCCATTTTTGTCATCTTCATGAATAAAGGAAGGCATGGTCTGTCTGCAAAAATTTCACTTTGATGAACAAGGCATTCCTTTACTACATCATAGCCATTCAGAACCACAGTTGATATACCTCCAAGATCTAAACTGAAGATCTTTGATAAGAAAAGAAAAACAACATTTAAATGGATATAACCATGGAAATCCACATGTACTAAGCCCAGCTCTTCTAGTATGTTAGTTCCCTGAAAATACAGGCACTTATTACTCAACTGACAATGTTTAGACTGACTTTTCTCTACAAGGCATACCAACACTATGATTTCATTATGCATTCAGTGCCTAAAGATGTAATCTCATAAATGGTAAAATGAAAAAAGTACCAGATTTTGAAGGCCTAGATTCTAGTTTACCTTTGCCATTAAACAGATATAGGACCCTGTGTAGAACCTTTAACTTTGGGGGGCATCAGGGTTCCCATAGAAAATATAGTACTTGATTTAGATGCTCTTTTAAGATTCTTTCCAACTCAGAACATTCAATGATATCTAGGAATTTTTTATTTCCACAATGAATGGGAAAGCAGCATCATATGCATGTCATTTATTACTCCAGACTTAGGTTAGGAAAGATTTTGTCAAATGCATGAGAGACAATTTTGAAGTATAAACATATTATAACTAGGTTCACTTGTATTTGGGTTCCTGAATTCCTGAATAACATAGAGGACCCTTAGAGAATATGATCTTGGAAGAAAGTCATTGTTAAATAACAAAAATTCAACTAAGTAAATTTGAAGATCTAATTGGCTTTATTGAATGAATAGGGGAGCATCCCATCAAGAAGTAGAAAGGAGCTTCAAAGAGCTATAGAAAAGGCTTTTAAAGGCAGAAAGAGAGAAAGAAAATGAAATTACTAGCAAAAAATTGCATTATTTCAGGCAAGATCACTCTCCTAAGTGGAACAAAGGGGTCTAACGGGCAGATTACCTAAGTAGTGCTGACCAGGTAATTTCAGCTTGAATGGTCAAAGGTTACGGTCCGGGAGGTTGAAACTGCATTAGGTTAGGTATTAAGGCTTGGTTTGCTGACATGGGGTTTAGCACAAGTGACTCCATTTGGGGCCTGCTGTCTCATTTTAACAGCATTTACTACATAGGTACAGGTGGATGCTCAACTAAGGGGAAAGCAAGACAGAATATCCATGCTATGCCTTGCTAGAAGCTTCTCATGTGCTTCACCTCAGGTTACAATGTCACATCTCTTATAGTCTGTTATAGGTAGGCCCTTAAGGGCCTAGTCCAGAGAGGGAACAGTGCTATAGCGGGATGTAAAGATTGTTTTTCCCATCCTCTCATGCGGTTGGCTGAAAGCTTTTTAGAGCAAAAATACTCAGCCAAGCTTCATCTCTGTGCAAACAGATAGAGCATGGTTTAGCCACGGTTCACACGACTTAGGAAACAAACAGGAGGCTTGGGAGAAAAGAAGTTCAGCAGAAGTAGTTACAGCAGCAATAGTGATGAAGGTCTCCAACTAGTAACAGAATTAGCTAGCTGAGCAATGGAGTCTTTGGCACAAGGATGGGCTGTGTCAACTCAGCAGTAGATACATTCAGAATCTTAATGAAGGAGCATGGACTGCTGCCACAAGCAGTAATAGTTAAAAGTAGCAGTGTAAAAGTTCAGCTGAGCAATGGTGGGACTCTTTCAGCTTCCAAAGCAGTAATGAAATAGTCTTAAAAGAGTCTTTTATTAGAAGCGTAATTTTAGCAGACATAAAGGAAAACCTACTCTTCCTGTGTGTCTCCTCTACTCTCTCAATACTCTCTACTATACTTCTGACACCAGATGTGTGGGTTTTCCACACATCAAGCAATTCTGGGACATTAGCTGAGTATCCTACATTTTAACTCAATTTTGACACTATCTACCTGGAGACAGTATTAGATTCCACAGGTTAAGGGCTCAGTGCCATAAGAGTTCTTTCCCACTTCAGATGCCAATCACAAGTCCAGGTTGTTACCTGTTCTCACCAACAGGCTGTAAAAGGTCCCTACAATCTCCTCCTTGGGTTTGATTAATTTTCTAGAGTGGCTCACAGAACTCAGGAAAATATTTTACTTATTAGATTACTGGTGTATTATAAAAGGATATAACTTAGGAACGCCACATGGAAGAAATGCACAGAGCAAGGAAGAGGGGTGTGAAGCTTCTATGCTCTGTCCAAGCATGCTACCCTCTACTTAACTCCTTGTTCACCAACATGGAAGCTCTCCGAAACCTATTATTCAGGGATTTTTATGGAGGCTTTATTACCTAGGCATGATCAATTAAATCATTAGCCATAGGTGACTGACGATGCTTCCAGCCCCTCTCCATCCCAGAGGTAAGTGAGTGTGGTGGTGATGGTGGTTAGAATTAAAAGTTCCAACCCTCTAATCCTGTTGGTTCTTCTGGAAACAAGCTCCCATTCTTTGGGGATTTCTAAAAATTATCTCATTAAAACTCAAGCGTGGTTGAAAGGGGCTTGTTACGAATAACAAAAGATGCCTTGATCACTCTTAACTCTTAGGAAATTCCAAAAATTTTAGGAGCAGTGTGCCAGGATAAAGAGCAATGTGCCAGGATAAAGAGCAAATATATATTTTTCTTATTATAAATCAAAATATCATGGCAGAGATAATACAAGAATGGCAATAGTGAATACGCAGTGGTTCTGATGCAGGAAAAAAACAGCCTGATGCTTTCTCAAGGATGGCAAAAGATCCTGAGATTGAAAGTTGTGTTAATATGAAGGAAGAACAAACAGGGGAGTCATGTTTCAGGGTTAAGCTGTCAGGCTGGGAACACTAGGGATTACAAAAACCAAAGAGGAGCCATAGCTTGAGAAAGTTGTTATACAGTCCACCTTTACTCAAAAATTTGAGATGTTCCTCTATTTGAGGGTAAAACTGGGGAAACTGTTACTTGAACTAGCATCTATTACCTTTAACCAGAAATATCCATATTCTTGTCTGCTAAATTATAAACTCCTTAGAATCAATTATCTTTATCTTTTATCTTTGACCCCTCAATAGACTCTTGTTCCGTGCCTTGCATAAAAGTCTCAATACATGCTTACCTTATAAATAAATAAGTTGTCAATTGCATTTGCCTGAAAGTAATTATTTTATTGTCCTTACATGCATAACCTGAAAATAATCTGTAAAAACCACTTGTACTAGCATTACTAACTAGAGAATGCTTTTTGAAATTTGGATTGAGATTAAAGTCACTAGAAGTTTATAAATTCAGAGTGAATCTCCAAGGTAATGGTATTCTTGATGTGGTAGATTTCTATTTAAGACTGCCTTTAAAATGAATGTGTAAGACCTGAGGACTGGTTGTCTTCTTTTTAAGAATTATGAAAGAGAACTGAATTCACAGACTTCATAAAAGCAGGTGTCACCTGAAGTGATTGTCATTTCTCATAAGCAATTTTCAAGTCTGGGTTTTTTTCTGTGAGCAATTATAAGGTAGTGGAAAAATAAGATTCCATTTAAAAATAAGCCCTATAAACAACTTTCCACAACCTTCCAGAAGTACAGGAGATAATAATAATCTGGTGTTCTCCCACTTCCAAAAAAGGTATAGTATATTATATTTTATAGTATATTAACAACTTATACTAACTCTGAGACTTTATCAGAATTGGGAAATGCCTCTAAGACAATGGGAGACTTTAGGGGTGTTTCACAACTAAGACAAAGAACAAATGCTGCTGTAGTTTAAAGAGTTAATCCGTTAGGTGGTTTTCAACTTAAATCTAAGGCAGAGTCAGGCAGTGTCCACTCTTACATACATCCTTTTCATTTTTGCTTTCTCTTTCTCCTCTATCCTTCTTGTACCTGATAATACAGTTCAAGTTTACTACTAGTAAAAAACCATGGTTTCCCTCAAATAGTTCTACCAGCAGTAAAACTGATGCCAATTCTTAAATCCATTGAACCAATCTACCTCTCCCAAAATGAGTTTTCCAGCACATTTATAATTTAATTTGTAATCTATTATGATTGGAGACTTAGATTACCCCATTCCAGAAGAGAATGTTCATTGTGAATACAGTATTCCTTTCACATGTACATATGAAATACAATTTCCTACTCTGCGAGACATCATTTTACAAAATTGGTTTAACTACTTGATGTGTAGGCCTAATATATTGTTCTGTAATTAATAACCAAGAACATCTTAATATTTAACTGTTTTCAGTTATTATCATTCTTATTACACATATGAGAAAAAAAGATTCAGAGAAATAAAGGTCAAGTTTTATCTGATGAAAGAGGACTCAACCTCTAGTCTCATGCTTTCATATCTTATGATTTCTCTAGACTGTTATGACGCTTTGAACCAACCCACCAGAATGGAAATCGTGAGAATACACACAAGTCCTGGAGAACTGAAAGGTGGAAAAGAAAACCTAAGAATTATACATGTTTGCTTTACCTAAGTCCAATTTCCCTTTAACAATGTAAATCGCTAGAGAGCTGAAGAATCCAGAATTATTCTTGTAAAAACTGTTTCAAATAAGGATTTAAGCCTCAGGCTGAAATACAACTGCCAAAGTTCTGCTGCACTTTTCCTTCAAAACACTCACCACAGTATGTGGTTGATAATTTTCTCCCTCTCACTAGACTGTAACTCGCTGAAATTGGGCTGTGTCTGCCTTCTACACCTCTTCATGGCAAGAGTCTGGTTTGTTGTTGCACATAAATGAATGGACTCAAAACAAATCAGGTCAGTGCCAGTGCTCTGGAAACTTCTGTCTCCTTCTGAGGTAAAGACATTCTTCCAAACACAAGCTTGAGTTCTGGCCTTTTCCCCTGCTAGTTAGCAACGGTGTGGCTGGCTGTCTGCAAGTCACTGGGCATTTCTGGGTGCGGTATTCTCTTCTGTAAAATGAGAGAACCAGAGGACCTACCCACCTGGGAGGCTGTGAGGTTAAACGAGTCCATACTGGGAAGCTGGTCCACAGCAGGCACAACCTCAGGGTCTGCTGTGAGGGTACTCCGGGCCTGTCAGGCCGACATCGCTCATTATACGATATAGGACTCCGTACTGATTTTTTGTCATGAATTCATTTGCTCTTTCACAATTATTTACCAGAGCTCACCTCTCGGCCAAGCCCTTCACGGGCTTTTTCTAATCCTCACAGCAAACACCTAAACCGGCCGTCCTCAAATACAAACCTCTAAGAACCTCCTATTACCTATTAACTCGGTCCCAGAATTCGGACGCCCGCGTCTCGCGGGAAGCCGCGGGCTGGAAGCTAGGCCCGGGCTCGTTTCCCCGAGAGCAGCGCGTGCAGGCCCGACGTCGCTGCTTCAACATGCACAAAATAGAGAACAAGGCAAGAATGCCCACTCCCATTATTTCTAGTCCACATCATCCTAGAAGTCCTATGTAGTGCAATAAGACAACCGCGGTGCGTCGGCCGGTGGGGGTCCCAAGTGGGCGAGGCTCCCCTAGCTGGAGCGCAGCATCAAGGAGTTCTCCCGACCTAGGAAGCCGGTTACCTTCCAATCCCTTGGTACATGGAGAGGGGTCCCGACAGCTCCCGGCCAGGAGCTGCAGTCAGCCCACCCGGGAGGAAGTCTCGGGCCCTCCCTGCCTGCGGCCCGTCGGGCTGTACCTCGCCGTACACCTGGCTCTGCTTTCTCATGTAGACGTGGGGGAGCTCGGCCGAGGTGGCCAGCGAGTAGATGTTGCCTATAAATGGCAGCCCCGACGGCCCCGGGGGGAAGCCCGCTGGCCTCCTCTGCTTCAGCAGCTGGCGGAGCCCCAGCGCGAGAAGCAGCAGGAAGACCGCGCCGCCCAACGCCGCCGCGCACGCCTCAGCTCGGGGAGGCTCCCACATGGCTCGGGGCGGGGGCTGCAAACCTCCGCCGGCCTGAGACCGGGCTCGCCCCCCAGCCCTGCCGCACACCCATTGGCCCGATACTCCAAGATCCCGCCCCAGTACCAGGGCTATTGGCTGGCTGAGTGTAGTTCCTCGGCGTCAGTTACGTCTGTCATTGTCCTCCTCTGAGTAGACTCTGGAGAGACGGATGCGGCCCTTGGCTCTGGGAGCGTCTCTGGGCGAGCACCAGCCAGGCGGGATACTGAGCCTGGAGTCCTTTCCCTGGGTGTTGACGTCAGGGTATTGAGGACGTGTCAGCACAGCCTCCCTTGTTGAGCTAGGTAGATCCTGTCTTAAGGCCACCCGGTTTCTGAAGGTGTCTTTTTTAGCAGCTAGGTGTGAGTATTTCAGGCTAGGAAAACTGGAGAGCTCATAAACCCTGCTGTCTGAACCTGATAATCTAATTTCCATTAGAGAATTGATCCATCAATATAAAAAGCACAATCTTATTCCTCTGTGTTCTTTCCTCTTGTTTTGAGGCATTTTGGTGTATGATACCTTAAGAAATGTGATTACACAATATTTAGGTAACCAGAGTTAATCCCATATCTTTTCACTCCTCTCTGGTCTTCCCAAACTGGTTACTTCTTGGCAATCACAGAGGATTCTGGTCTGCATTGCCTAGGGCTAGCACTATTCAAGCTTTCTGCCTCCACTACCTAAAATAAAGCAACCGCTTCCCTATTTGCTATTTCTATTCCTGTCTCTGTTTTCTATTGGGTAGTTTCTTGCAATAAGGGATGTACCAAGCATGGGGATCTTCTAACAGCTGCTCCTAAATGTGATTCAGCAGTGGCAAGTGTTGTGGTCCTCATTAGTTTAATGCTCATTCATACAACAAATAATTATTGAATGCCTAATGTGTAGTAGTATTCTAAGCAATGGAGATACATAGATGAAAAGAGCAACAAAGTCCCTACCCTCCTAGAATTCACATTCTTGTGAGAAGAAAGAGGAATAAACACAAATAAGATAATTTTAAATAATCATAAGCAAATGAAAATAAAAGTTATAGAGAATGCCTCAGCATGTTGAGATAATTTAGCAGGTGAGAGATGTCAGTGTCTTTTATAGAAGATGACATTTGAGCTTAGATCAAGTGATAAGGTGTATTTGTTTCCTATTACTGCTGTGACAAATTACCATAAACTGGCTTAAAACAATACAAATTTATTATCTTATAGTTCTTGAGCTCAGAAGCTCAAAGGGTCCTCTTGGGCTAAAAGCTAGGTGTTGGTAGAGCTGCATTCCTTCTAAAGCAACAATCCCCAAACTTTTTGGCACCAAGGACCAGTGCTCCTATGAGAATCTAATGCCTGATGATCTGAGGTAGAGCTGAGGAGGTGATGTTAGTTCTGGGGAGCAGATGCAAAGACAAACGAAGCTTGGCTCTCACTCACTGGCCACTCACCTCCTGTTGTGTGGCCCAGTTCTTAACAGTCCATGGACAGATATTGGTCCATGGCCCAGGGGTTGGGGACCCCTGTTCTAGAGGTCCTAGGGGAGCATTAGTCTTCTTGCCTTTTCCACCTTCTAGAAGCTGCCAACATTCCTTGACTCGGGTCCCCATTCTTTTGTCTTTAAAGCCAGCAATGTCAGGCAGTTGTTCCCACATTGGATTTCTCCAGCTCTTTCTTCTTCCTCCCTCTTCCACTTATAAGGACCCTTGTAATTTGGGCCCACTTAGATAAGCCAGGATAATTTCCATCTCAAAGTCGGCCATTTAGAAACTTTAACTCTATCTGCAATTTTGTTTCCCCTTGCCATGAGACTTAACATATCACAGGTTCTTGGAATTAGGACTAGGACATACGTCAGGTGGGGGAGGGCATTATTTTTCCTACTACAAGAGGGAAACCTGAGGGAAATCTGGGGGAAAATATTCCAAAGAGGGACTACCAAGAAAGAACAAACCCTCCCCGCCCCCCGCTCCCCCATATGTAAGCAAGCCCGTCCTCTGAGAGTGTTTCTGACTTTCTATACCTTTGATGTAAATACACAGGAGATGAAGCCAGCCATTTAGTTAAGCTTAGTGTTTTGCTGTCTATTTTGAGCTGACTATCTGGTATGTGGACATCCAACCTATGGAAACAGGGTATGTTTCACAGAATCTTCAGCATTGAAATATCTGTCTATTGCCTACTCCTTTAGTACCTTAAAATTCTTATTAATCAAGAATCTTATAGTAAAATGGAAAAATAATTATGAGATTATTGCTAGATTTTAATCTTCAATGTCTTATCGAAGGCCAGTGGAAGATGACCAAGGATGGAAATTGGGACTGTGGTGGGGCACATCGATGCCGGAGGAATATCAACTACAGGAAGCCTGAGGTCAGCCCTGCCTGCCTCACCAATATCATCAGGCTTGCAGTATCTGGTCTGGCCACGGCTGTCATGCAGTATCGGTACTCAGTTCAAAATGGTCCCCTTCCGTCATTTATATTTAAAAGAATTAATTTCCATTTGAAAAATATGCTCCCATTCACTTAAATTAAGGAATATTCCTTCCTTGGCATTCTTTCCCTGGTTATAGTAGCAAAGGAGAGTTGGGCCCTGACAGTAGCCTGACTAAACAGCACTGATGGGATGCTTCCTTCCCACTCTCACCGCCCCTTAGGGGATAGTGGGGGAGGGTCCTCAAGAATCTCTAAAAATTTCTCAGAATACAGATCCTTCCCTGTCACCATTTATCATGGTCTCTTAGTGCTCAGTAAACAGAAATAGCTTACTGCGTTTGCACCTAAAGTGAAAGAAAACTATGTTTGTTTATGGAGTTTATCATGACAGATGTTTGGTGGAACAGGAAGTGAAGGATTTCACTGCTTCATAACAGGGATCCTGACTTCAGTAAGCAGGGTAGAACGGGTGCCTGGAGAGATGTGAAAATCCTGTACATGGCTCTGACAAGTCTGTGTGCAGAACAGTAATGGTTTCAACAGAGAACAGTGTTGCTGTTTTAAAGTAAGAGCCTCTTTCTTGGCCTTTAGGAACTGTCCCTCCAGAACTTATTCTGAGGGCCAGGATCAGATGAAAGTGTCTCCAGGGCTCCCTGCCAGTTAATGGATGGCTGCAAACCTGGCCTGAGCCCTGGGTGCTCACCAGACAGTCTCCCCCAGTGCAGAGTGATGCACCCTCACAAATGTGCCTCGTTTGTACATTCCATTATGTGCACTCACAGTTGTGTTTCGTCAGAATGGGAGGAAGTGAGAGTCAGAAGAAGTGCCCAACAGAGCCAAATTGGAGCCTGAGGTAAAAGAAAAAAATAACAATACTGAGCTTGGCTTATTAAAAATACATTATCTCATTCATCATGAATTTTTGCATCATTTTTTAAGTGTTACATTAGAATACTATCTTCATTTACTGAGCTTTTTGGTGCAGCCTTAAATTTGGCTCCTGAGGTGAATGGCTCACATGCCTCACCCTAGTCCTGACCCTGGGAAACAGGGTACCGAAATAAGATTTTGATGAAAAAGTGGTATGTAGGAACTGAGATTGCATACTTTGATCTGGTGGAGCTAGCAGAGTAGTGGCACCTAAGTGTGGGATGAGGAGCCTTACAAAAGTGTCTCTTTGACCACTAAAAAAAAATCCCCACCTTACCTGAAGTTTAATCTTTATCAATTAATATGATTAAACATTCTCTAAAACAGGCTGAGTTGGAAAATGCAAACCCTGATGGCAGGAGAGTACAGTGATAGGAAGTGCACTTCTATGTGAATTAGTTTATTCCAACATTTCCTTAGAAGCAAGACAGAATGGGATGACATTGATTTCTTGGAGTCTGCGACAGGATGGTAATAATGGTGCTGTCGAGGGGATTTGAGAAAATGATGCAGAAAGGAAAAGGAGGATTTCAATGAGAAACTTCTTTGCCTTCACAAGTTTTCCAAAGTCTAGATGGCTGTAGAGAGATCATATTTCTCTCAGGTGTCATTCCTGACATTCCTGGAGATACTCAGCTGACTGTCCCAGCCACTGCCTTTCCTCTAGCTCCCTACTGGACTATCCTCTAATCATAGCATCTTCTTTCCTTTCCTCATATTTAAATAGATTACAAGTCTAATGGGGATGAATAGTTTGTGACCATGTTGTTGAAGACCCTCTTCCAACTGTGGTATCTGAGACTTGGAGGAGATGTAATGCTCTGCCCAAGGTTATACAAGACAGCACCTGTGGATCCAGAAATCTGGGCTCTGGACTTGTCAAATGTTCCTTCAGTCGCTCATCACAAAATTATTGAGCACCTACTAGACTAGGTGCTGGGGGTGTAATGGTAAGCAAAACCAGTTATGGTCCCTACTTTCCTGGGATTTACAGTCTGTTGGGGGATGCGAACATCAATCAAATATTCACACATGGATATGTCATTTCAAACAGTTAAGTTTTCACAAGTAGAGAAGAGTTCCATAAGCATGTATAATACAGGTAATGTGATCAGTGTTGGGGGTCAGAAATTGCAGTCTGGGCCATAGAACCAGCTTATACTCAGGGACTTATCTTTGCCAGGATCAAGTTTACTGCAAGTTTTAATGAAAATCTTCTATGGGAAATTCCATGCCAAGTAGGAAGAAAAAGGAAAGTGGTGTAACAAAATCCATTCTTTAAATTTGTGAATATCTCTCAGCCACTTCAGTCCCAATTTGAAGCCTTCTTACTCTTGCTTTGCAAATGATTTCGATAGACATTCTTATATTGTGTTTCTAAAAGCTGTAACTTTGTAGAAGCAAAGTGAACAGACTAAATTGATGGAAAATGCTCATCAACGAAGATTAAAGTTATTTTAAAACATTCTCACTTAAGAGCGCAGGGGAAGTGGGGAAGTGCAGTGTGTATTTGGAAGATTTGGCTAAGTTTCTAAAACAAAGAGAAGACTCCCAGAACTTGAAGGATTAACTTCACTTATCCAGAAACTGTCTTTCTGGAGCCCTCATATCCTGACAGCGTTAATGAAGGACAATGATGATGACATGAAGGCACAGGGCAATGGT